AGGAAGGAAGGAAGGAAGGAAGGAAGGAAGGAAGGAAGGAAGGAAGGAAGTGCCGACTCTTTTCAAGACACTCCATTTTATAAAGCAAGACTTGACAAAGTTAGACATTTCCGACCTGTGGTTTTGACTCTCAGGGTAAATTCCTCAGCATCTTTCTGAGCAATCAAGTACCAGGAACGATCCGGATCCTGGATCCACTCCTGAGCCTGGCAGTAGATTTTGCCTTGATCCGAAACCTCAAGCTGCGCCATCTTCAGCCTGTACGTGGCCTCTCCTAGTTTATCTAGGCGGATGGCTCCTTCCCTGTAACGCTGCTCAAACCCCTGGCCTGGGCTCAGCGTGAAATATCTGTCCAGAGAAATGATGGGCTGAGCGTCGGTCTGTCCATCTTTACGGAGATACCAGGCGAAAGACAGATGGGTGTGCTGAATGGTGTTGCTGGAGGCTTGACATGTCAAAGTGAGAGCTTCTCCTTCGTTATAGCTCAGCGAGGTGGTGGCGCCACTTGATGAAACACTTAGGGAGTTGTCAATCACTATGGCAACGCAAATACACAAAGAGTCATATATTGACAGTTTTCTGTAACATTCAAGTGTGTGAAGAGAAACAAGGATCAGTCGAAACTTACAAGAAAAAATATGATTGATTACCTTTAACAGTTGTCTTAGCGCTGTAAGTTCCATCAAAAAGACTTTCTGTATTTACTACTTTGCAGTCGTATTCTCCTTCGTCGTCTTTGAGTAGCCTTTGTATCTGAAAAAGGGCCGAGTTAGGATTCACATGCGTAAGAGAAATGTCCTTGCTCGACACGCGCCCTTGATGGCTGGCGTAGCCGAAGTCTTTATCATGGGTACTGATGATGTTGATCTCAAAGTTTGGGCGCGCAGGCTTTGTCACGCGGAATTCAAAAATCTTTTCATCCGTTTCATCCCTGAAGCCACTGGTGTTGCAGGAAATGGAGAACTTAGAGCCCACGACACGATACAGAGGTCCAGGTTGTATCTCAGTGTACACTTTGGCCTCTGCTGACAGAAGCACAGACAAAGTCAGTTGAATTAGCTTTGTTTTACCACCTCATGCTGAAAACTAATAAGCGCGGCTGTTTTTCATTTTGTGATTACAGTAGTCCCTCGTTTATCGCGGGGACTATAAGTGAAAAACTGTGAAGTAGGGATATAGTAGTCCAAGTTCAAGTAAACTTTGTCGTTACCATCTCATGTGGTACATGAGATGGAACAAAATTATGTACACAAGTAGTAGTATTAGTAGTAAGTAGTAGTTTATTTTAGTATTTATATACAGGTATTTATAACCCTAACCCTAAACTCTAAATGCTCTAAGAGAGCACAGCATTGTTTCCCCTAGATAAATTGACATGGCGGGGCACTCATCTTGTCAGTGTTTTTTTTATTTTTGGGGGGGGGGGGGGGGGGGGGGGTGGGTTGGACAAAGACACATCCTGAGCTGTTTATATCGAGTTTTACATTTTTAGAGCAGCGGTGAGTGAGAGGAGAGAGACGGACACATCTCAGCTGTGCACTGTCTGTACTGACAGCTTTTATTGGGTGGTGGGTGAGAGACAGAGACACATCTGAGTCGTGCGCTGTTTGTACCGACAGTTTTCGAGTGGGGACGGGGGTTCAGCGTGACGATTCAGCATGAGGGAAGAGGCTCAATGCACCTGCACTGCGAGCCGCTAGTTTAGCGTTACGTCAGTGCTGACAGGTGGTTGGGGGGGGGGGGGGGGGGGGGGTTCGGTAGACGGGGCGCTCGGTTCCGTTGACAGGGCGAGGCGCCCCGCTTGTATAATGGTAGTGGAAACACTGCACAGCATGTCATGTTTATTTTAAAAACTGTAAAATTCTATGCCCATCGTGTGGCTCATCCATCAATCAGCCTGTTGTGTGTCATGTCCAATCTTACTTTGAAAAACCGCGAAAGAGCGAGTCCGCGAAAGTTGAACCACGAAGTAGCGAAGGACTACTGTACCTCCATCTGTGTGTACAGTATGCCTCCCGGTTTCATTTACATGATGCTCACATGTTTGAGTCATTGCACAGCGAATCAGTATATATAGGCGCCCCAGATTGCAGCAGAATGACTACAGCTTTCTGCTGCTGCTGTTCACACTTGCAAACAACCATAGACTCCGTGTAAACTTTTACAAAATAGGTTCACGTGGAGTTGTTTTAAGATCGCAGCAGGCCACTTTGCTCTTATCCTTGCTGTCTAGCCGTTAGCTCACTGATCTAATCGGCACTAAAATCAAATCACATGGAACTTTATTTTTAAAATCACCCTTCATACAGCAGTGTGTAACACAACGTGCTTTACAAAGACGTGTTGAGACAAAACAAAATGTCAAAAGTGACAGAAAAATAAGAATTCAGAAATCAGGAAAACAGTTTTACAAATGCAACAAAGAGTCAGGTCCTCTGGACGGTTTCTTTTTTTGTAGATGATTTTTTGTCTTTTACATAAAATAAACAAAACACAACACTTTTGTTTTTGCTCCCATTGTTCATGAGCTGAACTCAAAGATCTCAGACTTCTTCCATGAACACAAAAGGCCTTTTCCCCTCAAATATTATTCACAGTTCTGTGTAATTCTGTTAGTGAGCTCTTCTCCTTTGCTGAGATAATCCATCCACCTCACAGATGTGGCATATCAAGATGCTGAATAGACAGCATGATTACTGAACAGGTTGAGGGCTGACCACAATTAAAGGCCACTCTTAAATGTGCAGTTTTACTGTATTGAGGCATCGGAGGGATCAGAAAACCAGTCAGGATCTGGTGTGACCACTTCTCCCACGCAGTGCAACATATCTTCACATGGAGTTGATCAGGTTGATGATTGTGACCTCTGGAATGTTGGTCCACTCCTCTTTGAGGCTGTGTGAAGTTGCTGGGTATTGTCAGGAACTGGAACATGCTGTCATACGACTATCCCGATCATCCCAAACATGCTCAGTGGGTGACATGTTGGGTGAGTATGCTGGCCATGCAAGAACTGGGATGTGTTCAGCTTCCAGGAATTGTGTACAGATCCTTTCAACATGGACATGTGCATTATCCTGCTGCAACATGAGGTGATGTTGTGGATGAATGGCACAATAATGGGCCTCATGCTCTCATCACAGCATCTCTGTGCAGTCAAAATGGTTGCAGCAGCTGTTATGGTGGCTGGTCTCAGACGATGTTGGAGGTGAAGATGCTGGATGTGGATATCCTGGGCTGGTGTGGTTACACGTGGTCTGTGGTTGTGGGGCCGGTTGGATGTACTGCCAAATTCTCAGAAACGTCTTTGGAGATGGTTTATGGTACAGAAATGAACATTTAGTTCCATAAAAGCTAAAAATCATGAAAAACAACTTCCTCCCAGAGGCTGAGCCTCGTGAACGCTGCTGGGCTGCTGCCACTGCATTTGTCGCTTTCCTTTATGCTTTTATTTCTAGTATTACTTCATTCCTGCTCGATCCCTTTACAGTGTATGCGTGTACATTTTACTACTTTTATTGTTCTTAGAATAAGAACATAAAATATGTTGTTGTAATTTTCTGTCATTAAGCATATAGCAAACCAAATGGATTAATTTAATCTGTGTACAGATGTGAATAAATTGTTGACATAATAGAGATGAATCTTGAATCATATTTGTTGTCATTCATATAAAAAGTTACAGGAATTTGTTTTTGCTCCCGGCGGGCTGTAATTGCAACTTCTGCAGATTTGTAAAAAAAAAAAACTTTACAGGCTTTACTGCCTTAAATAAACCATTATTAACTAAATGAGAGCCTATTGAAGAAAATTAATTAGTAATAGGTCACTGTGCGATTAACAAATGATTAAAATAGATTTCAAATTGATAGAAAGCGTCAAATTTCTGGCTCACCTGAGTACATCCTCACTTCAACTTGTTTTTGCTTATTATTATTATTATTATTATAAGTCATTGTCCTACTTACCACAGCGTAGAAGTAAACCAGTCCACAGGAGTAAACTGGGGCTCCATAATGAGTTCAGGGGACACTTCATTGTGGACTCGGGTTTACGCGCAACCCCGTGTTCGCACCAGCGCGCCTTTGAGCGCTCACACTTATTCAAGTGGTTTATGTTTCCTGTACAGATACAGACTGAGTTAGAGGAAGTCTGTAATATTTCCTGCTTTATATCCGTGTTACGTTTTTTTTTTTAAAAAAAAAGGTACATGCGCAACAACTGAAGTTATGAGGTTGAGGAAATAGAGCGTGACTCACAAAACAGGTTTGTTTTAAGATCTACATTTGATAAAGTTTATATTTGGTAAAGAGATAGAGAAACATAAATAAGAAAACAGTTATAAACCACAAGAGCCCCACATTTTATTTTATTTTAATTCTATGTATTTACACCAAGCAGCTCAAACAAAGGGAGGTGCTTTGTGTCTGGCTGGTTAGATCATCGCCCCTTCATGTCTGTTTTAATATTATTTTAATACATTTTCACGGTTCAAATGACTTAAAATATTTTAACATATTTCAAACACACCGTGGGCGCGCGCGACGTCCTTGTGTGCCGATAGGAAACGACTTGTTTGATCCTTTTCTTTGTCGGTAAAGCGTGAAAGTTTTTGGCTCACTGTGCGTTTAAACAGTCATGTTTGGTCATGCTGCCACCTAGTGGAGGTTTGGAGGACGTTCAGCTTCAGAGATGGAAAAAACAATAAAACTGAAATACAGGTCCTTCTCAAAAAATTAGCATATTGTGATAAAGGTCGTTATTTTCCATAATATAATGATAAAAATGAAACTTTCATATATTTCAGATTCATTGCACACCAACTGAAATATTTCAGGTCTTTAATTGTTTTAATACTGATGATTATGCCATACAGCTCATGAAAACCCAAAATGCCTGTCCCAAAAAATTAGCATATTTCATCCCACCAATGAAAGACAAGTGTTTTTAATACAAAAAACGCCAACCTTCAAATAATCATGTTCAGTTATGCACTCAATACTTGGTCGGGAATCCTTTTGCATGAATGACTGCTTCAATGCGGCGTGGCATGGAGGCAATCAGCCTGTGGCACTGCTGAGGTGTTATGGAGGCACAGGATGCTTCGATAGCGGCCTTAAGCTCATCCAGAGTGTTGGGTCTTGCGTCTCTCAACTTTCTCTTCACAATATCCCACAGGTTCTCTGTGGGGTTCAGGTCAGGAGAGTTGGCAGGCCAATTGAGCACAGTAATACCTTGGTCAGTAAACCATTTACCAGTGGTTTTGGCACTGTGAGCAGGTGCCAGGTCGTGCTGAAAAATGAAATCTTCATCTCCATGAAGCTTTTCAGCAGATGGAAGCATGAAGTGCTCCAAAATCTCCTGATAGCTAGCTGCATTGACCCTGCCCTTGATAAAACACAGTGGACCAACACCAGCAGCTGACATGACACCCCAGACCATCACTGACTGTGAGTGCTTCACACTGGACTTCTGGCATTTTGGCATTTCCTTCTCCCCAGTCTTCCTCCGGACTCTGGCGTCCAGTGCTGCTTCTCTGTAGCCCAGGTCAGGCAATTCTGCCGCCGTTTCTTGTTCAAGAGTGGCTTGACCTGGGGAATGCGGCACCTGTAGCCCATTTCCTGCACACGCCTGTGCACGGTGGCTCTGGATGTTTCTACTCCAGACTCAGTTCACTGCTTCCGCAGGTCCCCCAATGTCTGGAATCGGCCCTTCTCCACAATCCTCCTCAGGGTCCGGTCACCTCTTCTCGTTGTGCAGCGTTTTCTGCTACACTTTTCCCTTCCCACAGACTTCCCACTGAGGTGCCTTGATACAGCACTCTGGGAACAGCCTATTCGTTCAGCAATTTCTTTCTGTGTCTTACCCTCTTGCTTGAGGGTGTCAATGATGGCCTTCTGGACAGCAGTCAGGTCGGCAGTCTTACCCATGATTGCGGTTTTGAGTAATGAACAAGGCTGGGAGTTTTTAAAAGCCTCAGGAATCTTTTGCAGGTGTTTAGAGTTACGTCGTTGATTCAGATGGTTAGGTTAATAGCTTGTTTAGAGAACCTTTTCATGATATGCTAATTTTTTGAGACAGGCATTTTGGGTTTTCATGAGCTGTATGCCATAATCATCAGTATTAAAACAATTAAAGACCTGAAATATTTCACTTGGTGTGCAATGAATCTGAAATATATGAAAGTTTCATTTTTATCATTACATTATGGAAAATAATGACCTTTATCACAATATGCTAATTTTTTGAGAAGGACCTGTAGAGGGGAAAGGACGTGCAGCTTTTGCAATAACACACAGCAAACTTCTTTATAGTACATGTAGTTATGAACGTATGAGTTAGAACAATGGTTCTCAAAGCTTGGGTCAGGACCTCACCGTGGATCACAAAACACCAAGTTAGGGGTCCTGAGATGTTTTCCAGAAATCAAACAAATTTTAATCCAAAAATAAAATCTAAAAAAATCTGCCAGCATACTTTATTTTACTGCATTTGTTACCAATAAATAAATTCAGTAGCCATAATGCATAATGCTACACAAATAAAAGGAGAATTATGTCCTTATTTATTTTCTTCATGTAGTTCAAAAGATCTTTGGGGTCACAAGGCTTTGTCATTGTCTTTTTTAGGGATCAGAAGCAAAAAAAAAAAAAAAAGTTTAAAATCCACTAGATATGAAATAAAATAAAAGTAAGTCTGATAAAAGAAGGCATATTTGCTCAAGTAGTCTATTTCCTCCCACTGATCAAAACAAGCCTATGAGGTTAAGTGGTAACTCTAACCTCACCTCATTTTACCAGTAAAGATTTTCACAAGGAAATTTATATCAGGTTTTTTTTTTATTAAGTCTTCCCTCAAACAATTTTTATCATGTTTTGTAGAGGTTTTTTTTGTAACCCACGATGCAGACGGATTTAAAGGCTCAGAGGATCAATGAAAACTTAATAAATACTAAAAAATAAACAAGATGTCGTGCAGCCAAAAACACTTACAGAATAATTCTCAGGAGAGCACACGTCGCAAACATGACTGGTCTGGGAAAAGTAAAGTAAGGACAGGGAAGTAGCAGAATAACAGATTTTAAAGGAACACTAATGAGAGACTGAGTAGCACCTGGGGAGACAGGATCAGGTGAGAGTGGCAGAGCAGGAACATCAGAGGAAAACACTGAGGAAAAAAATAAAGATAAACACAGGAGGCTAAAAATGCAAAAATGGACTAAGTAAGGATCACAGAAAAACATAAAAAAAAACCCCACAATTTGTCCATTTATATATATAGTTCTGGCTTGGCTTCATCTCTCTCTCTCTATATATATAAATATATAAATATATATATAAATATATATATATATATATATATATATATATATATGTTTGTGCGTGTGTTGTGTATGTGATGATTGAATGTCACATTTCCAATCAGTTGCAGAAGTTCAGAAACTAAACTGTTGTTGTGCATCAGAACTTTGTATTTCTGCTTTCTCCTCTTATTTATTGTTCCAACAGCACATGTATTGTGTGTCCCTGTAAGATGAGCAGAATACAGTGACGATACAAGATGTCAGTGTCACATGTAGAACAGACTAACGAATCAATGAAAAGTTTCGACTAAAACTTACACAGAAACATTGAAACTTACTCAATACCCTTTAGTAGTAGTAACATAATAAATAGTGAATTATGCTAATATAACAGCACTGTAGTAAATTATGTAATAGGCAGTGTTACATAGAATATGTCACCATTTCCACTTGACTGAGCAGCCATTCTAAATAGACTTTAAGGATTCACCTTCATGACTCACAGACTCATCCTGCTCTGAGTCACAGCCTGTCAAAGTCACAGTAGCATGACTGCCTTAAAAATGGAGAATTTTACTGAAACATGACAAACGCTCTACGAGCTCTGCATCTTTCACGTCCTCTGTCGAGATTCAACGTTCCTCTTGAGGCGAAAAACAGTCTGCAAACGAGGCTGTTTCTCACAGATATCAGTTGTATCCCACTCATGTTTCAGCAACGGTGGAGCGATGACAAACATCTAAACAGGAGGAGACGCGAGCACCAACAACAAGCTGCAAGAGTCTGAGATAAAGCACGTCCATCCCAGCCAGCTTACGCTGCTGAGAGGTTTCATGTGCGGCCACCTGTTTTAGCTGCAGAACAAATCACACGTTTTTCCAGAGGAAATAGGAAAATTGTGTATCATTTAGAGGAAATTCAGTCAGCACAAGAAGAGGAAGCGTTAAGAACAAGCGTTGCGGCACTTCTGCACGTTCCTCACAGCACAGGAGTAGGAAGTCTGAAGAGGAAAACAACAAAAAAACAAATCCTCATTTCAAAGCTGCAGAGCTGCAGAGAGCGTGAACCACAAAGGGGTTTGTTTTTTTTGTTTGTCTCTTCTCTGGTGGCAGGTGCTTCTACAGCATTTGGCCTGTTTTTCTCTCGAGCTTGTGAGGAACTTTGAAAAGATGAGCGACTCACTGGAGAGGACCACCGACTGTCCCTTGTCGCCTCTTAGAGAGGAGTCCAGTCTGAACGAGGAGAAGAGGAGCGCAGCAGTTGCCAGCGAGTTGTACTGGGAGGATGGAGGTCTACCAGTGGAGCTGCAAAGAGGGCTGAAGACCCTGAGGGTCAACAGAGAGCTGACCGACGTGACCCTGTGTGTTCAGGGACAAGAGTTCCCCTGCCACAGAGCCATACTTGCTGCAGCCAGTCAGTACTTCAGGTAAAAACGACCCAACGTTGTGTCCCAGCGTGTGACGAAGCTGCTTCTTTTATTGATTTGATGTATTTTTGTGCAGGGCCATGTTCTGCAGCGGTCTCAGGGAGAGTTATGAGGAGCGCGTGGAAATAAAAGGCTTGGACAGTGGCACGATGCAGTCTCTCCTGGAGTACACGTACACGAGCCGAGCCGTGCTCACACACTCGAATGTTCAGAGGATGCTCGAGGCTGCCAGTCAGTTCCAGGTAAAACGTTGTAAAGAGGCTTAAACATCTTAGATGTGCTCGACTTTCATGAGAAAGTTTCCTGTCGGTGTTGAGCACATATTCATCATACACCAGGGAAATTTTAAATATTGATTTAATCAATATGGACAGAATAATGACTCAGTTAAAGGCTTCTGAGGATTGATTTAATTGTAAACAGTTTTTAGGTCTTTTAACGGTGAAAATATAAACTGATGTCTTGAATTACCATGAAAATCATAACAAAAAATGAAACCAACAAATTGTTTAAAAAATATATTTTTTTCTCTTCTGGACCTTTAAACAAATATAGTTTTATTACTTCACACCTTTTTTTAATTTAGAGGAACAAACATGTATGGTAAGAAGTTAGCGGCTGTCAGGGGGAAGTGAAAGTTGGCCGGTTGTTTACTTCAAGGATCAGTTTTCCATAGAGGCCTAAATGAAGTGCACATCTGTGCCACACTACGGAGGAGGCGTTTGGGTTCTCATGCTTCTATTTTGTGCAAAAAAAGTAGATTTAGAAGATAAGCAGCTTTGGTTTATTGTAACAATGATTTTAGATTTCAAATTAAAATAAAATAAGGTTTAGGATACAGTTGAATATGGATTAAAGGCTAAATGATAAATTAGTTCTTTTTTTCCCCAACCAAATCCATTTCATAACCTTTTATTACCTTGTCTTTTATTGGTTCACACAGACCAACATCCACAATATTTGTATTAAAACTGATTGTCCTAATATTAAACAAAATGAAACCTCTTTGGATAAAAATGACTGCTGTACTAAATCACCAATACTTCTGCATTTTTAGAGTAATTCCTTCTTATAGTGAAGTAAAATGATGTGATAAACAAAAAATTCAGATGTTCATCTTTATATAAGCATTTTAATTCTTGTTTTTACTATTAATCAGTTAAAACCATGACATGTGCTGTACATCTATTTGTTCAGCCATCTTCTCAGCCAACAGAGTAAGTGAAATGTATGTTGTGACGTCCTGATGCATGCTCAATAATCCAGGTAGAAAAATCTAAAAAAGTTAAATCTGGTCCTCTGGACATTCAAAAAAAACAAAACAAAGCAAATCAACAAAAAAATGTAGAAACGTTTCGTCTCTCATCC